TTATTAGTTAATATTATTAGTAAAAATATTTATTATTTTTAAATCTAATTAATTTCTATTTAATCTTCAATTTATTTATAAAAAATATTTTCTAAAATTTTAGTAATGGTCCATTGTGATGTTCGTGGAAGTGAGGCATATTGTGGTGATCTTGCTCATTGTTTATTACATGAACAGACTGGTAGTGCTCAAATTGCAGGAGTAAATCTTAGGACATTAAAAAATAACAATAATGGCACTTTTGATCTTCAAGAACTGGAATCTAAACTTCGGAGAAATAGAGATCATGAGCCTATTTCAAAACTAGTACTTGTAGAGAATACAATTAATGGAAAAATTGTTCCACAAAATTGGATAAATGAATTAGTATTATTTTGCAAAAAACATAATTTGAAATTGCATATGGATGGAGCTAGATTATGGAATGCAAGTATAGCATCAAAGATAGCTGCAAAGGATATTGTTTCAGGTTTTGATTCTGTAACTTTCTGTCTCAGTAAAGGTTTAGGTATTTATTTCCTTACAATTTCTATTATATCTTTTAAAATAATTAATTTCTTTCTATATATTTTGTAAATATCTTTTTATTTTTAAAAATTATGATATAATATATCATATATATTTTCATAATAAGTAATATTTATAAAGTATTTTTAATTTGAAATAAATTTATAGAATCAAAAAAGAAAAAATATTTCAATTTAGGTGCTCCTGTAGGTTCCCTTCTTTGTGGAACTAAACAATTTATTGAAAATGCAAGAAGAATAAGAAAAGTGCTTGGTGGTGGTATGAGACAAGTTGGTATTCTTGCTGCAGCTGGACTTGTAGCTCTTGAACACATTCCAAATTTAGCCAATGATCATAAAAGAGCTTTCACTCTTGCATCTGCAATACATAATATACAATCATCAGTATTTTTAGTTGATTTAACTACTGTACAAACAAATATGGTTTTCATGGAAGTTGATTCTAATATTGTTCATGCAAAAATATTCTCTAACTGTTTGCAAGAACTTAATAATGATGATAATAATGACAAAGATGTTATTGTGAAATGTATGGTAATGAACGAATCACTCATAAGGTTTGTACTTTCTTTTGAAGTCGGAGATGATGAATTAAAATTGGCTATTAAAAAAATTATACATGTTATTAAAAAACTAGATCCTAAATTTTAATTATATTATATTTATTAGTTGTTAATAAAATTAGTTAATGAAATATGTATAATTCGTTTTCATAGTATATCCTGTATTTTTTGATATATGAAGATGATGATTTATTTACGATGTATTATTTATGAATAATAATGAATAATATATAATATGAATATAAAATAGTAATGAATATTACTATATATAATTAAATAAAATTCTATCAAAATACATAACATGAGAAGAATGATAAACTGGTTGGAAAAATAATATTTTGAATTTGTAAATATGCAAAAAGTATGCAAATTATATGAATTTATATGTAATTATAATTTATAGATAAATATGTAAATTTAAATAAATTTTCAGAAAGATATAAGATGCTAAAAAAAAATATCTCAAGCAGATGAATTTAAATTGGATAATGATGTTTGATATTTTGATGATCATTGTCAACATTTATTCAAGTTTTTTGAATGATGACATCCACGGAAAATCAAAATAAAAGAAATAATATGAAAAAGAATATTATCTAAATATATTAAAAGAAAATCACCATATGATAATTTTTATGCGAAATTTCCAAGAATTTTACATAAGCTATTATTTTTTACAAATTATGATGATTTGAATAGCATATATCATGTTATTCAATTTAAAATGCAAGCAAGAATTATCTAACTTTTAATACAATTTTTAAACTTTTATAATAAATCATAAACTCATTCCAAAATAATATTTTGCTAATTCATTCTTAATTCAGAGATTTTTTTCCTAACATTTTATAATAAAATGTAGGGAATTTTATAATAAAATGTAACCTCTGTTATTATGAAAACACTATCAATATAAAACATAGAGTTAGCAATGTTTTAGATACATTTGATATTAGAAAAATATTTATGAAATTATATTTGAGTTAAAAAAAAATTTTGTATGTAAATGTTTATAATCTACATAATAATATTTCTTTAATGTATCTCTTATGTATAACTAAAGCTCTTGATTTTCCTAAAATAATATAGATAAAGAAAAATTAAAAAATTTTATCTATCTATTGATTTGATTTTCCCGAAATGATAAATAAAGATTTAAAAATTCTATTTACTTATTAATACATACAAGCTATTTCATATTTTAATTCATTTGATGGATAAGAATAACATTTAAAATCTAATAAAAACAATAACATATTTATAAAAACATATGTATAAAAACAAAACATATTTATATATATATATGTATATATGTTAAAAACTAGATGTTAAAAACTAGATGAATTGAATAACAGGAATAAAAGTATCATTAATTTATTATTTTCTCAATAACAAGATTGTAGAACAATAATTTCCTCAAGATATAAAACATGAGGATTACATAAAACAAGGATAAAACAAAGAATTTTATATGAATATTAAAAAAAAAAGCTTTAATTTACTAAATTATTATTTTAATATACTAATTTTTGTTTTATATAAATTTTATGTCTCAGATAAAATTTTAAGGATATTTTTCTTGTAATTTTATTTTTCAATTATTTACATTGCAAAATATAAAAGATATAACAGATTAAAACAAATTTATATAATGTAATTTATGTATATAAATTTATTTAATTTATTTATTTAATGAACACATACAATATATTTTTTTGTTCCATGAATAAGATATTATCAGATATTATCCTTATTCATTTTAATATCATTTTCATATTATAAATTTGATTCAAAATAAAATTATAAAGTAATAATGATTGAAACTAAATTTCAATGTAAAATTATAAATAACAAATATTTTGTTACAGAATTTTTGTATACATTTTATCTATGCTTATATATGATTATATTTATATAAATTATTGTAAAACAAGCAAGAAAAATGATAGTTTCATTATCATATATTTTTTTAGTTATAAAAAATTATTTAATAAAAGTAATTAGAATTTTATTTTAAATATTTTAATAAAATATTTTAATAAAATATTTTAAAAAATTTTTAAAAATAAGAGAAAATATTATTATGTATATTTATAATTTACTTTTCATTAAATTTTTATTTATAATTTTAAAATCATTGTTTACCTGGAAATGAAATGTTAATTTTTAAATTAATCTTGTAATGAAAATTGATTTTATTGTAAACTATATTTTTAAAAATAAAATTATATTTTTAAAATTAAATTTTTGTATTTTTATTCTTTTAAAATAATATTTACATGTGACTTTTCAAATATTTAAAAATTATTTATATATGGAATGATTATAAATTAAAGAATTAAATGACGAAATAGAATGAGATATATATAATATTATAGATTGAATATATTTTATAAATGCAGTATATAAAAGTAATTTGTGAATTTATATTTTATAATTTTATAATTTATAATCTTTCTCTGTTTATATATTTTTTATTAAAAAAATTATATAATACATCATATAAATTGTTCTATATATAATAATAGTTAATATTTTGATTATTAACTGTATGTTTTATAAAATTACAAATAATGTGATAGATTCGACAAATTTTCAATAGTATCATTTTTTGATCGAATATTTTAAAATTCTTATTTTTTTCGTTTAATTCCGTAATGAAATATTCGCATCATATATCAAGATATATTGTTTTCCGAGATTTATTCTTCTAGAGAATGTAAAATTGAGAACGTAATATTTATATTTTTTATGATAGATTAAGACTAAGATACATTATTTTTTGAAAGAGAAATAATGAAAGTATATTCACTTGACATGCAATATTTTGTTTAACATGCGCCTAAATTTTGCAAAGAAAGAATAAACAAGAAGAACGAATAGTAAAAGGAAAATAAATAGGATAAAAATACTGAAATCAATGCCATCTTCAGAATTAAATATATGCTGCAAATTAAATATATAAAAAAAAGATAGAAAATAATAGAAAAAGAATAAAGATAAAGTAAGAACTCGACTTCTAATATTATCTCTCAAATATCAGACATCTGTTGTAAAACTTTTTTAAAAATACTCAAGAGATGTCTTTAATTTCCAATTCTTATTCTACTTTATCACTTGAAAAAATGTCTTTCGTACTCAAGAGATAGCGTTGACGGTTTTAATTCTTATTCTATTTCTATCGTTTATCTACTATTTTTATTCTTTTTTGTTATGCTATTTTCTGTCTTTCTCTCACTATTTGATCTTTTTGTCTATTCTTTCTCTGCAAAATATACGCTTAAAAGACGGTTTCTATATTTAATCAATTTTATCATTTTCGATTAATTTATTAATTAAAAATTTCAAAAATCTTAAATCGTTGAAATTTTATAGCTTAAGTGAACTTGAATTTTATCTTTGTTAATATTTTTTTTATTAATAATATTATTTCATTAGTTATTGAATTGTAATAAATATATTATTTATATAATTTATATGATTAAATGTATATATATGTACATTTATACATATACGAATATGATTTATGATACAATACGATATGATGTTCTTATAATAGAACAAATTTCAAAATTCATATTTTTATTTTATATTTTTATATAATATTTATTCATTATATCCTTAGCTATTTTTTGTCCTTAGCTATTTTGTAGATATATGCTTGTAAATGATTCCTAGAGAGAAATCAGTCTAGATAACGCAGGAAACGAATGATGTCATAAATTTTTTCAAATATTTGGTATTTTTCGCTCATTATCAAAAAAAGATTTTTCTATTAACAAAAATGAGACGAAACTCGAGTTTCATATCCCTTGTGGATATATGATCGCGATTGGTCTCAAACTGTAAGATTATAACGACAAAATATTGTATATAGGCATTTTATCACCATCGTAATATGTTTGTAAAGTATTTATCGATACATTATTCCATAAACAATTTATTTCTTCATCAAAAGGAATAACGTGTTCGATAAGCTTTAAGTATTTGTTATAAGGACATATTTTTTCACATTTGGGAATTTTATAAGTAATTAATTGTTCCGTAACTCCAGTCCACAAATGCATCTGTGAAACAAGCAAATTTTATAACATTATCATATAATTCAATATATAAAAGAAAAAAAATGACAATAAATTTTAAAATTTAAATATTTGCGTATTGCTTTTATGTTATAATTAATATAAATAGAGTTAAAAAATATTTTATTTATATTTTATTTATATACAACTTAATAAAACTTACTTGAATATAAGCCACACCACATTGATTTCGCAATTTTTCGACTATAATTGCAGACCCAAAGGCAGGCAGTTTTGGTTCGATTAAATTATGTGCTTTGGCAAAAGCTGCAATATTTAATTCATGTCCACTGTATACATAAATCTTGGGTGCATTTTCATTCTGTTTATTTAGATTTTTTAAAAATTCTTTTATAATAAAACCTCCATTCAATCGTTTCATTAACGTATTGTAAGATAAAATATTGTATTCTAATGCCACGAGTTTTTCTATTCTATTTCGAACGTTCTCGGTTGCCCATTCCGGAAGGGCGATGTTCATGCTTATCTACAAATATAATATTTAAAAATATTATAATCGTTATAATATTTAAAAATTATCGTTAATTGCCATTATAGTTGTAAAAAATATAAAATGATAAAAATAAAATATTTTTACATATTTTTTTATTCCATTAAAATTTACGTATTATTACGTATTATTATTACATTATAAACAAGTACATTAAAATCGAAAGTAATCTTTACTTTCTTTGTATATAATAAAAAATTTCATACCTGTGACATCAAAAAATGGTACAATTTATATATTTGAAGAAGTGGATTGATTATCATATCTAAACCAGTGTGTTCTTTAAGATAATTTAAAAGATCTTTGTTTTTTAATATTTCTTTACGAATTATGGGCAAATTGGATACTCTGAAATATTCTTTTATGTACCTATAAGAAACATTTTTATAATAATTAGAGTAAAATGTAAAGCATATGGCATATGATTTATTAATAAAAAAACTAAAAGAGTTTAATTTTTGCGAAAATTATTCTATTCATCTTTCGGGAAAAAAATATAATATAAAATAAAAAAATATAAATATAAATTATTTATCCTTAAAAATTGAAAAATATAAAAGGAGATCTTTTAATCATAAAAAAATCAAGAATCATGAGATTATTTTTTTGTTTTATATTAATTCTCCAATTCTCTAATTAATATCCATAGAAAAAAAAAATTTATCATAGTGGAAAAAAAAAATAAGTTTATCTTATCATCATTATATTCTTTCTTTTTTATAAAAAAAAAAAAAAAATATCGCGATAGAATTGTATTCAAGTAATAAATTTTTTTTATCTCATTGCGAGATAATAGAAAATATATACGCAACATTTAGTATTTAATTATTTTCATATTCCTTACAAGTAAATCTAATTTTAAAATCGATTTTTATCTTTTCAGAAATCAAATGATTAGAGCCAATGGAGAAATTGAATGGAACTTGTGAATATAATTTTTTCATCGAATATCATCAGTGATGATTGCGATTTATACTTACTTCGGACATAACGACGAAAACATTATGTTGTCCACGATATTTGGCATATAATAAGCGGGTATAGGTGACAAACGGATGTGTCCTTCTTCGTCAATCATAGGTGGATATATACCGGCCAGAACCAGTTGCAACGACATTTTTGTTCGATCGACATCCGAACTATAGGCATACACACTGCCAAACGTATGGTGACCACCTAAAAATTTACTATACTTTGCTCTTAACAACGCACCAAGCTGAAACTCTCTTATTTTCCCTTTCTAAATAGGAAATAGAAAAGATAAAAAATAAATGTTTAATAATGAAAACTTATCAATTGAATGCAAAATTTTCCATTGATTTAACGAAGAATTAAAAGTGTTTAAAATATACTTACATCGGTTAATTGGCCATAACCAAGTGACTCGTAAATAGAATTATGAGGTGCTTTAGGATATATTTCTAATTTGCTTGGTGTCCGATCGCCATGTCTAAATATCTGAAAATTTTTAGGGAGGATCATTGAAATGGAATGTTAATGAATAGAAAATATCAAGTGCACACGCTATCCAAAGACTATTTTTAAAAAAAAAACTACTTTTCATCATTTCACACGTTTATCAACGATAATTAAACAAAATAATATTTTGATAATTATTTTTTGTTCTCCGTTCGATAAAATATTGAAATCAATTTATTTCGCATTGATTAATGGTCAAAAATAGAATTTTATTATACATTATCATTGATAATTCTTTTTGTATTTTTACAAAAAAAAAAAAAAAAA